TCTGGGGCCCTGGTAACAACAGATACTGTACTGAACATCCTACACATGTCATCTTTAGGTTCTCACTGCTCCATCACATAGGCGCTGCTGTCCCCGATTTACAGATGAGGAAACTGAAGCCCAATGAGATTAAGTGACTCAGTGATGGTTATGTAGAGGGTTGGTGGGGGAGCCGTGACTCAAACCCAAAGCTGTGTATCTCCAAAGCTGTGCTTGTACCCATACAACTATCGAACGCCTGCTGTGTGTCTGGTACTATCCTTCTAGACGCTAAGACCCAGCAGGGACAATTTAGTCCCAATCCTTGCCCTGATGGAGATCAGATTCCAGTAGGGAGAGAGACAGCCCAGAGTAATGAGACCAAAATAGACCTCAAAGAGAATGAGGCGAGACCAAAGGTAAGCAGGAGTCAGGGGGGTTCAAGATGGTCAGGGGAGGCCACTCTGAGTGGTGCATCTGAGCTGAGATCGGAAAGGAAAGAAGAAAAAGTATTATGAAGAACTGGGAGAACGGTGCTCTGGGCAGAGGCAACCACGGGTGCAAAGGCTCTGAGTGGGGCAGGAGAAGAACAATGTGGGAAGCATGGCCAAGCTGGGGGCCAGATCCCTGGGGGCCTGGTCGTCCAGGGTTTAAGCTTCATTTGTAGTTATTAGAGGGTTTTTAAGCAGTGGTGTGCTGCAGCCCACTCATGCCCGCACATGAGAACCACCTGTTGAATCTTCAGGATTTTTGCTGTTGTTAAACTATTAGTAGCTTGAAATCAGCCATGGTGGGAGTATTTACACCATGGGAGTGGGCAGCAGGTGGGTAAACATTTATCTGCCTCACACTGGTTTTAGACAGGGAAGTGGGGAGAGTGGATCTGCGCCTGAAGGAGCGCCCTCTGGCTGCAGGGGGAAGAATGGCCTGCAGGGGACAGAGAAGCAGGGATGCCCTGCAGGGAATGTCATTGCAGGGATGCCCCGCAGGGAAGGCCATTGCCTTGGTCCATGTTGGAGAGATGGGGGTTTGGACCAGGATGGGCCAGTGGATGGATCTGAGTGATTTTGAAGGCAGAACCAGTGGGCCTTGCTGAGATGACCTCATTACTGAAGCTCAGAGCAGGGAGGTGACCTGCCCAACGTTACACGTCTGGAATATGGCAGAGGTATGATTGAGCCCAGGCCTACCAGGCCCCTAAACCCTTTCTGTTCCCTATACTTCAGTGTTTCCCTAAGTTGCCATGAAGATTCTTCCTGGGAAGCTCATGGTCTAGGATGAAGAGGAAATAATTAATTATGTCCCTGGCTGCCTGTGGTCAGAGCACCCCTTTCCCACACCTCTTCCCAGGAGGGTGGGTCCTCTGAGCTGCGGTTGGGGGTGGGGCGTGGAAGAAGCCAAGATGTCACCATCATAGACACTGGGAGGCCCAGCTGTCACTGGTGGACACTGGGGCCATGGCGTCTGTCCTCCCTCCCAGGAGGGCCCCAGGAGGGCTGCCCCGGAGATGGTCTTGGAGGGTCCTACGACCTGCTTGGGAGATTCCCAGCTCTGGGATGCGGGACCTCCCCTGGGGCAGGGCAAGGACCAGGGCTGGAACCAGTCTAGGACCTCAGAGGAGGAGCTGCCACAGCACGGCTTCCCGGGGGGCCGGGGCTGCTCTGGTTTTTGCTGGGGTGGGAGGGAGGGGATAGGGATAGATCTGAGAGTCTAGCTCAGTGGGAGCGGGGGATCTAAGCAGCGCCCGGTCTTAGCGAGATGCTGGCAGAATCACTAGGCCCCGCTTGTCTGCCTGCACCTGCCCCCCGCCCCCTCGCCCCCCACAGGCTTCATACACTCCCAGTCCCTTCCCTGAAGCCGCCTTTGGCACCAATCCCAGCAACAGGGCTCATCTGCTCCAGCCCCTCCCTGTGTCAAAACTCACTCTCAGAAAAGGGTCCTGTACTGGGGGATCACTGTCACTGTGACCTTCTGCAAGAAGCGAGAAGGGAGGAACAGAAAACAAAACTAATCAAATACCTACCAGGTGTCAGGCAGAGCTGCTTGCTTTCCTCAAAGAGTTAAAATTACAGGAAGGTTTCCCCTCATACTCAGCCCCTAAAATAAGGCTGTAAAAAGTTTACTCTTATCCTTCTAGACTTTCTTCTTTGTACACACACACACAGGCTATTTTTTTAAAAACTGAGATAATGTTACTGTTCTATGTGGATTATTTCATTTAATCCTAGGTTGTTATGATCTCTACTTTGCATTTCAGGAAACTGACGCTCAGAGAGGTTATGTACTTCTTCTAAGGTCACACAGCTGGTAGAACTGCCTGGCCCCACAGCCTCACTCTCTGCATCTTGGGCATCACCTATGGGTGCAGAAGGCCAGCCTTGTTCCTGTTGGGGGGCATTTGGGGCTGCAGAGCAGGTGGGGCTGGAATTCTGGGCAGAGGCCTGATCCGGCCTTCCCTTCTGCTGTGCTGTGAGACTCAAGCCCTGGGGTCAAATTCCAGCCCCACTGAGTCCTTGTTAATGCTTTTTAAAAGGGGATTCTATTGCCATTTAATTGCGGCTCTGCCCTTGAAGCAGACTCCCAGCTGTCTGTAACAGACAGCTTGGCCTTGGATTTCTCTCTCCCAAAGCCCAGGGGATAGAGGCTGCACTGGGAGGCCTACGACCTGGGCCACTCACCAGCTGTGGAACCTTGGCAGTTCCTGCCTCTCTCGCCTTGATGTCCTCTTTTCAAAGTTCCTTTCAGCCCCAAGGTAAGCCCATGACTCCACCCCTAGTCACTGCAGATTGCTGGAGAGCGGAGGGGGAGGAAGAGGACGAACCAGAGCAGAGAGGAGGGCTCGGGGGCAGCTTAGTGGGTTTGGAAGGGAGTGGGAGTTTAAGAACAGGTTCTGGAATCCCTAGACCTGGGTCCAAGTCCCAGGGCAGGACCTATGCAGTTGTACAAGGCCCAGGCTCAAAAGATTCCCGGGACTTCCCTGGTGGCGCAGTGGTTGAGAGCCCCCAGTCCGGGAAGATCCCACATGCCGTGGAGGGGCTGGGCCCGTGACCATGGCCGCTGAGCCTGCGCGTCCAGAACCTGTGCTCCGCAACGGGAGAGGCCACAACAGTGAGAGGCCCGCGTACCACACACACAGAAAAAGATTCCTTACTTGGTTTTACGTTCTGTCATTGCTATCTTGAAATTCTTAACTTTCTGAGTAAGGAGCCCAGCATTTTCCCGTTACGCTGGGTCCCACAGATTGAACAGCCAGCCCTGCTACCGCGTTATGAGCCGTGTGCCCTTGGCAAGTGATTTCACCTCATCGATCCTGAGTTTTCGTATCTGCAAAACGGAGTGATGCTTACACCCCCTGGGAGGATTGTTCTGAGAATTCAAAGAGAGATGCCTGGTAAAGAGCCAGGCAGCAGTAAGTCCATAACCGGTGTCAAGCCCTGGTAATTGTGGCCATCTTTCTGTAGGGCTTTGTAGGGCCTGACAGGGAGAAATATCTCCGGAGCCGCAGTCTCTCTCCCAGCCTTGTCCACGGGGGCAGGCGGGGGGGCACATTTCAGGCCAAAAATAAAATCCTCGGGCTTCCCTGGTGGCGCAGTGGTTGAGAGTCCGCCTGCCGATGCAGGGGACATGGGTTCGTGCCCCGGTCCGGGAGGATCCCACATGCCGCGGAGCGGCTGGGCCTGTGAGCCATGGCCGCTGAGCCTGCGCGTCCGGAGCCTGTGCTCCGCAACGGGAGAGGCCACAGCAGTGAGAGGCCCGCGTACCGCAAAAAAACACAAAAACAACAACAAAAAATAAAATAAAATAAAATCCTCACTGGGAAGCAAATGGTGCCACCGTGCGCACAGCAACCCCTGCCTGTGGCTATACTGGGTCAAGTGGTTTAGGGCCCTAAGTTCCTGGGAGCTCAGGTGCTGTGGGGTTTGAGCCTGGGGAGAGATGAGGGTCTGGTGAGGCTGCTCCGGCACCTGCTTTCAGCCAGAAGAGGGTCAGTCACGTGACCTTCATAAATGAAGGCCTGACGCCTAGAGGTGCTGATGGAATCTCCCCAAGGGCCGCCTCCTTCACTCTATGTCTTGGCTTGTAGGACCCCCAAGGTGTTGTCCCAGCACCTCAACCTCCCAGATGTTTCCAGAGTCCCGACTTCCTGGATTCATAGCTCAGCAATTTCCCAACGGTGAGACCTGGAGCAAGTTACTCAACCTCTCCAGGCCTCAGTTTCCCCATCTGCGAAACACTAACGGGTTTGACCTCGTGGATGTGTCGTAGTAAATCAACGCCCGCATGAAAAGTGCTTACAAGCATGCAGACAACGTCAGCCGCTGCAACGGCTGGCCTGCCTGCTTCCACTCTGCGCTGAGCCCGGCAGCGGGCTCCGAAATGCCAGTCTGACCACGCCTCTCCTTCAGCCGCTCGTTGCCTTCAGGATGAAGCCCAGACTCCTTGTTCCGGCTCCTCTGAGCCTCCATGTGGTGAGGCCCAGTTCAGGGGCCATTTCCCCTTTTAGAGTCCACAGCCTCAGGATCTGCTCAGGGAAACCTCCGGCCCCCAAGGCAGAGCCTATGATGTGGCTGTCAGTCAAGCCACGGGGCGGGCACATGACCCAGGCTCAGCCAGCTGGGAACCTTCTGTAAGGACTTTGATTATTATTATTATTTTAAATAAATTTATTTTTGGCTGCATTGGGTCTTCGTTGAGGTGCGCGGGCTTCTCATCGCTGTGGCTTCTCTTGTTTCGGAGCACGGGCTCTAGGTATGCAGGCTTCGGTAGTTGTGGTGCACGGGCTTAGTTGCTCCCTGGCTTGTGGAATTTTCCTGGGCCAGGGTTCGAACCTGTGTCCCCTGCATTGGCAGGAGAATTTTTAACCACTGCGCCACCAGGGAAGTCCCAGGACTCTGATTCTTAAGGATGGAGAAGCTTATGGAAAGGGGTTGGGAGGGTTCATTTGGGAGGTTATCCCCCTGAGTTCCTGCTGCCTGGATCTCCAGGGCTGCCCTAGGCCCCGGTCCTCTCTGGGCCTGGGTTTTTAGCCTTTCTTCCGATTCTGTGCAATGTCTCACAGCCTTCCGTTGATGCTCTCTTTGTCCAGAGTAGCCCTGTCAGTTTCTGTTGCAGGCATTCAGAGATCCTGGTGGATACACTCTGGCTCCAGACACATCCCAACTTTGACCTTCACCTTCTGCTTTTAAGTATCTGCCTGCATTTCTCAGTCCATGCATGCTACTTTGTGCCTCTGAACCTTTGTCCCTGCTGTTCCTTCTGCCGGGAATGTCTTTCCCACCTTATTCTCCTCATTGATTCTTATCCCAAGAACCACCTCAGACACTGTCAACTCTGGGGGGACTTCCTCCAATCCTCCTCTATACCACACCCCTGCCTCCAGGCTGGCTCTGGCCCTCTGGGTAGCCCTAGGCCCTGGGCTTCTCTCCCTCAGCAGCAGCATTTCCTCGTCTGAACCCAAGACCAGATGCAGGCCCACCCACCTCCATTTCTCAGTTGGCCACAACAAATGTTTTTTGGGCTCCAGAATCATGGAGGGTCATACAGGCAGCTCCCTGGGGACCTGCTCAGGGATTCCTCCGCCAGCTAGGACCAAATCCATTGCCTGCTGCTGAGGGGTCATGAGGGGAATTGCTGAGGACTGCGAGATTGGGAATCGTCCCAGAATAACAATGAGCCTGACTCCTCCGGGTTGGCCATTGCTCCAGCCCTAGCCTTTGATCCAGAGCCTGTGCCAGCCTTTGTCATAGCCCCAGCCGCTGCCCCAGCTCAAGCCACAGACCTGACCTCACACCCCACCCTCGGCCCCAGCCCTGTCTCTGCCCCTGCATAGGCCCTTCCCCCCACCTCTGCCCTCACTGCAGACCCCCAGCATCCTTCCCAGTGAGACCCACCCAGGCTGCCCTCTGTAGAGGCCCTGCCTCTGATCGAATGGGGCTTTCGGTGGGGAAGGACTGGCCAGTTAATTGGGCGGTGAATAGAGCAGGTATATCAGAGGTAGGTGCCACGCCCAACTCCCCTCAGTGGCACAAGACCTGCAGCTCCAACAGTAGGTGACAGAGCCGAGCCTTAGGCAGGGGCAGGGGCAGGATCAGGTTTAGGTCCTGAAGGTTCCTTCTGTTCCTCACCTCTCCTGCCCTGGGCCAGACTATGTCCTGAGCCGTGGACAGGGCTGAACCCTCCATGGTTGCTGAGTGCCCCAGCTGGGGAAGTGCCCGAGCTATAGCCACCCAAAATCAGGTAAAAGGAGGCAAAAGGGGGAGTCCCAGGACAAGCCAGTAGGATTGGGGAAGCTTGCAAGGTTGGGGTATCAGTAAAGACCACCACAGATGACCATCCTTGAAAGAAAGGCAAAAACAGCCCAAGTCTCCTCTGAGGTCACCAACGCCTCTCCACCCCTTCTCCTTGGGAACTGAACCAGGGCAGCAGGGGTGGGGAGGGCCACAGGACCTCGGGGAATCAGGCCGTCCACTCCACCCACAGGTCGATCCTGCAATGGACACATCATGAGGACAGAAGCCAGCACTGTGATGTCACAGCTCAGCTGCGGCTTTGTGCTCCTGGAGCTGTCGAGTGAGTCAGCTGGGCCCCTTCCTCCTTCCCGTGCTCATGTACCTGTGTCCGATGCTCAGGGCTGGACAGGTTGACTGTGTAGCCCCACCCCTTCTCCCCCTGCTCCTCCCACATGCTGGGGCGGGCCCAGCAGATGGCCAATGAACAGCACGCTTAGGGAGACTGTCTTCTTTTGGCCATAACTAGCGACCAGTCTTAGGTGAGCGGCCCAGGAACTCTTTGCAAGGCTGTGTTGAAACCACCTGTCAACTAGGCCACCTTCCCAGCTTGACCGTGAGCTCATTCAAAGGGTCTATCCTGGTCCCCAGTCTAGCTCTGTAGAAGCTCAGAGTATATGATGTCAGTTAAATGCATAAATGGCTGGAGGGACGGGTGGGTAGAGATAGATGACAAAGGTATCTCCTTCCTATGTGGGCTACTCTCTCACCCGTCCCCAGCTCTGACCCTCGGAGTCTTTCCTGAATGCTCTTGGAAGCTAGCACCTGTTGGAAGCCCCAGGCATCTTGGCACCCATGGGACTTGACGGTGATGGAGCTGTCCCAGTTATGGGGTGACAAAGGCAATAATGCCACTGCAGAATGGCACATTTGGTCCCTCCAGCGCTGGGGGGCACAGCTCAAAGACCTCAGACTTTGAACTTAATGAAAGCCGAGTCCAAATCCAGCCCTGTTGTACATCCTCAAGCTGGTCACAGGGGCCTCTCTGAACCTCTGTTTCCTTTTCTATGAAGTGGGAATGTGAACTGGCTTCTGAGGACCATCAGGAGAATCAGAAGAGAAAGCTGCTGTCTTGACTGTTGCTGTGGCCATCCATCTTCTTCCTGCCTGGCCCACGTGGCCCTCATCCTCCAGTGTAGCCTGAGGTGGTGAGGGGCAATGTTGGCGACCGTGGACACAGGCCAGGAGGCTGGCCTGAGCAATACCGGTGACAAGGACCGGGACCTGCAGGTGCTGTTCCAGGAACTCTGCCAACTCCAGGCAAAGTACGAGCTGTCCCAAGCCCCGCCGTGCCCCCTGCCTCAGCCCCAGGGCCACCTGCGGTGGGCTAAGCAGCTGGGACTGAGCAAAAATGCCTGAGGAGGCCAGGCCAGGAAATGAACGGGGAGGGGACTGAGGCCCGGGGTGGGGGGGGGTAAGTCAGCAGGGGCAGCTGATTGGCGAGTGGTGGGGAGGTGGGGGGCTTGGCTCCCACCCTTTGAACTCAGACCTTGGGCCAGTCCCAGGCCCTGTGCAAGCTTAGTCTCCCTCCACGAAGGCAGGGCTGTGGGTGACCATCCCTACGCCTCTGTCAGCTCGGCCCCTCTAAAATCAGCCTGCAAGGTTGCTGCTGTGTCTCCAAGCAGACATCCTGAATCCTTGCCCCTTGGTGACTCTCAATTTCAGGCTGCCCACGAAAGCCTGAGTTATATGCAAAAGGATGGATTGATATCTGTGAGTGATTTTATGGAGAAAAGTCCCAACCGGTCCATCGGATTCTCATAGGGCTTCCCAACCTCCCCACTGAAAGGTTTAGCACTGTAGCTCACAGGGCCCCACGTGGTATTTGCAGGGGGAAGACAATTTTTTCCTGCATTTTTCAGGACTGTATGGATGAGAAAATCGGGCCTGAGAGGCAGAGTGGCTTGCCCTGGGGAAGTCAGCAGTCACTCAGAGATACCCACCACAGCCTTTCCTGCTCTGCCCTCTGCCCTTGACCACTGACCTTGAAGGCGACCAGGGTGGGCAAGCTATTGGAGACTCATCTTACTTGGTGATGCCCCCTGATGGCTGGGCAGCAGCACGTGGCTGTTGCCCCTCTGGGGGCTGCCGGGGCCCCAACCACAGACTGAGTGCTTATGATGTGCTGGGAGCCCCAGACCCGGTCCCCACCGGCCTATGAGGGAGGGGTCTGGTTACCCCTGTTACGGACGGGCCAGCCAGGCACAGAGAGGCAAAGCCTGTGGCCGGATCACCGGCTACTGGGGGCTCAGACCATCTGCCACCAGCTCCTCCTGCAGGAGGGGCTCCATAGACCCCATGCCACAAAGGCCCGGCCTCGCTGGCCCCCAGGCCCCTTCCTCATGGCCTGACCACAGGCATCTCTTTGACCTCTTTGTGGCTCAGTTTACTCAGCAGTGAAATGGGGGTGGAGAGACTCAAGTCAGCGGCCCATTGATGGGGTCAGTGACCAGCCCAGCCCGGATCCGTGCAGATCCACAGAGGCTGGCCCTTGCCAGGGGTCACAACCTGGAAGTCCCCAAACCGTGTTCTCACGTCTGCTCTCTCGCCGGCACTGAAATGTCTCTACAGACAGAGGAAGCTGAGGAGAGAGGTCATAAGGTTTTTGAAGACTATCTGATCAAGGTCCTTGAGAAAGTCCCCAAGGGTACGTAGCTTCCTCAGCAGGCACCTCCCAGCCTGGGAACCTGGGCGCGTGTGAGCTCGCTGAGCACTGAGCTCCCCTGCAGAGTGGGGATCCACAGGCCGGTGCCACTGTGGTCGAGCCAGCCAGGGCACCAGCCATGTGGCCTGCAGCAAGTTCTCAACGTCTCTCTTCAGTGGGAACAGCAACAGTTCCGTGGGCTGGATCCTTTATGAGCACGTAGCCTGGAGCCCGATGTCTAGCTATAGCACCCAGTAAGTGTCAGCTGTTATTATTACCTCATCTGTCTTTGATTTTGCTCTTAGGAACTAAAATTACACAGGCATCTGAAATGAGTTTTGTGTTCTGTTTTACCATGATTTGCACCAGAATCCACTGTTATCAGTGCTGAAAACTTGATAGGGAAGAGAAGGGGAGACAAACATACATAATTTTATTATCGTCATTGTCTTTACATCACCAATAATAAAAATAACTATTACTGTTTATGAAATATTTACTCTGCGCTAAGCTCTTTAGTAAATCTTTTTTACCCCTCTTGAGGAGCTGCTGAGAACTGTGTTACCCAGGCTCAGTGAGGTTAAGGGACTTGACCAAGGTCTCCCAGACAGGAAGTGGTGGGGCTGGGTCTCAGACTCTGGTCTACCTGATTTCAGAGTCACTGTGCTAAGTGCTCTGGAGCTGCAGGAGCCCCAAGGACTCTGCCCTGGAGGTCAGGGAAGGCTTCCTGGAGGAGGGGGCCATTCATGGGGCTCACATGCGTTCAGCAGAGGGGAACAGCACTGCAGGCAGAAGAACAGCACAGATGCAGGCTGGAGCCAGGCCCTGTGCAGTGGGTTTGGGGTTGAGTTCCAGTGTGCTGGAGCGCCATTATCCGCCAGGGGTCGCTGGGAGATGTGATTGGAAGGTTGAGCAGCACCAAAGAGCCTTGAGCACCAAGCCAAGGGGGGGCGCAGGCCTCCAGGTCAGGCACGGGGTGTGAAGCAGACCCAGCACCCAGCGCTGCTTCTAGAAGCCTCCTAGTTTGGGACCTTCCTAATTCAGCAGTTCAACCCTGTTCAACCCATCCAGAATGAGCAAAGCTGGGGACCCCGTCACACGGGACAGCAACAATCCCTGTCCTCTTCCTGCAGGCTCCCCCAGTCAGCAGCCCCTCCCGGGGTGGCGGTGGGGGGTTCTCCTGCCTCACTGGGCAGCCTTGATCCAGAATGCTTGCTCTCAGCCCCGGTGGCCTTTCAAATGCAGATTCTTCTCTTGAAGAGGTGGGAGGTCAGTGATGGGGCGCTCTCAACTTCGGGGCTCCAGTGGACAGCAGAAGTCCCACCTACATTACTAGTATCACTGCAGGGGCAGGTGAGGGCTGGGCATTCTATGCCCACCCCTCCTGCCATGCACTGTCTCTATAGGCTACAACCAAGGGGAGGAGCCAGAGGAGGTCCCGGTGGAGGCCATGGTGGGGCACTATGGGAAGCTCTTCGCAGTCAGCCAGGACATCCAGAAGCTTGTGGAGGCCTTCTTCAAGATGAGCCAGGCCGTCCACCAAAGCCTGGAGGGAGTCTCTAGAGGGAGGCCATAGGGCTCTTATGCCGGTAACAGCTGCCTGAAGCCCGGCTCATCCTCCTTGGCCCAGAGAACTGGGACGTAGGGACCCCCTTCCCTCTGCACCCCCAGAGAAGGCCTGAGGCAGGGGCGGGCTCCTGAGAGGGTCTGAGTGGGGCGCTCGCTCCAGAGCCTTGTTCTGTACCCCTTTCCCTCCCTTTCTGCCGGGTTTCTCCTGAGGAAGACTCAGCTTATCCTTAAAAGGTATTCTTCGTGGTAGAAAACTCAGGAGTTCTAGATTCAGACAGACTGGGGTTCAAATTCCAACTCAGCCTCTGACTAGCTGCATGGCCCTGGGCGCGTTTAGACCCCCTCTGAGCCTCGTTTCCTCATCTGTGACGTGGGGGCAATTCAACCTAGTTGGTAGGCTGTTGTGAGACACTGAACACAAACTGTCTCAGAGTTAAGTGCCCCAAGAGGCCATCTCCCTCATAGTTGGTTCATCTTCTAATAAATTGAACTTTCACCCCAAGGGATGGGCATTCCATCCGGAAGAAACTGCCCTGGCAAAGGCATGGCATGATGAATTTTTGTGCTGCAGCTGGGGCCTGGGGACACGGAGAAGACAGAGGATGGGGACATGGAGAGGAAAGGGAGGCTGGTGAGTGGGCTGATTCTCGCAAAGGACAGTGGCATGGCATTTGCAGCCAGTCTCTGCCCCCTAGTGGTAGCACTGAAAACCTACACCATTTTGTACGGATTTTTTCCTTCGTGGGCGGGGCACTGTGAGAAGCACTTAACAAGCTTTATCTCATTTAAACCTCACCCCAGCACCCGGAGGCAGGTGCTTCTATTCCTAGAGCTGAGACTAGAGGAGAGGAGTGAGGTAAGCATGCAAGTAGAAGGTTGGATCCCAACTTTATTGAGAATTTTAATACTTTGTTCATCATGGATTTTTTTTTGCATTAACTTTGATTTTTAAAAAACACTGCATTTGGGAATTCCCTGGTGGTCCAGTGGTTAGGACTCTGCGCTTCTACTGCAGGGGCACAGGTTCGATCCCTGGTTGGGGAACTAAGATCCCGCAAGCTGTGCAGTACGGCCCAAACCAAAACCAAACCAAAAAATTGCATTCAAATATTATTTATATTAATTCTGAGTTAAATATTGCACCTTAGTCCCAGGCATGCCATTTTTCTCATTTTCAAAGTAAGAAAACTAGGCCTCAGAAAAGTGTGGACACATGTATATCCTGTGTCCTCCAAACACGTCTCCGCGGGGCCTGGCGTGGGAGTGCACCCAGCACATCCTGTGCCCCGCAGGCCTGGGCCGCAGAGGCTATCACAGCCTTGCCCCCTGGTGTCCTCCCAGCCATTCCTGCAGCCGGAAGGGCCCAGACAGGTGGTTCTGCTTATGGTGAGAAAAACGGGCTTATGGTGAGAAAAACGGGCTCCAGGAGCTGAGCTGGGATTCGAACCCTAGTCATCCTACACGTCCATTTTCCTGCATCTCCTGGTGCCTTAAAGGGCCCTGACCACCCAGAACTTTCCCCTCCTCCACCCCCATCATCACTCAGACCCCTGAGCCGTGAGCTCCTCGGGACCAGGCCCAGGGCAGGTGCCCCGGGAGGTCAGCTGCACCGAATTGACCAGCCACCCTACCACAGAGCCTCAAGATCCGGCTCTTCCAGCTGCAGAAGAAGTGTCACCGCAAGCAGGAGCAGTGGCGGCAGCTGGAACACGGTGTCACCTACCAGAAAGACACAGGCAGCTGTGATGTGAGTCCAGTCCACTGGCTGGGGTGGGGGGCGGGCAGCACAGGGGCCGGGGGCTGCTGTCTCCTGGATAATGATTGGCCCCCAACACACACACACACGCACACACATGCGCACGCACACGCACACCACTTACCCACTTACCTCTCCCTGGTGACTGTTAGCTTTCAAAGGGCTTCTCTAAGACGAGCCAGATGTCATGTGACAGGTGGGAGAACTGAAGCCACAGATAGTTAAGGACCAGCTGGGATGCCCCCATACAGTCCCAGGGCCTAGCATCTGCACTCCTAAATATTGGTTGATTCTTACTCATATCTATTCACAGACGAGAAGAACGAAGCTTGGAAAGAGGAAGTCAGGGCTAAAGTCCAGGGCCAGGATTTCTGGGTTTAATCCCTTGAGCTACTCCTTCCTGGCCTGGAGAATGTGGACTAGTTATTCTCCGGACCCCCGGGTCCTCCCCATAGCAGAGCCTGTGCCCTTCTGGCCTTGGGGGCTGCCTGGAGGACATGGGGGAGCAAAGGCTGGGGCACAGGGCTGTGCCAGGCACACTCCACCTGGGCAGGGCGCAGTCAGCAAATGTGGGACCTTCTCAGGCTCTAGTTTGGAAGACATGAGGGTTGGGGTCTGTGGGCTGCTGACTTCCAACCAAGGAGCTTTGAAGGGGAACTGGATTGGCCACAGTTTATAGAGTCTGTTATGGGTCTTCCTCTTGAAGGTGAGAAGTAAGGTTGCTGATCACAACCCTGAAGGCCTGAAGTCCACACCTCTGGAGCTTCCCAGAGTGAGGAGCCCTGGGTTCCCCCATGACCCCTCCTGGTCCCTCCCCTGGGTGTGGACCACGGATGTGCCCAGCCGGGAGGACCCTCTTGGAAGTTAGTCAGTCCGGTGTCCCTCTTTGCAGAGGCGGATGCTCTGGCCCCGAGGTGGGGAGGGACTCGTCCAAGCCCTTTTGGTTGTAGAGCCCAGACCAGCAGGAGGAGGCGGCTCCTGGCTTCAGGACACGTCTCTGGCCTGAGTGAGCTGGGGACAAGGGGCAGGGAATTCTGGGAGGGGCCCGAGTCTGCAGAGCCGGCTGCTAAACTGCATGCAAATGGTCATCAACAGCACGGCCCAGCAGTGCTGCGCCTCTGCCCACGGCATGCCCAAGGGCACGGGTCTCTTCTCCAAGCTCGACCTCATCCGGGTGAGGACTCCCGTGCCCGGGCTGGCCTCCGGCCTGAGCCTGTCCTCGGCCTCGGCTCATGGGGCATGGGTGGTGGGCTGCCCTATTCCTCCACGGCTGCATGGCTCCTGCACAGGTGCGGTAGGGTCTCAGGGTCTCTTTTAAGCTCTCAACAAACTTGTAATGAACGCTCATTGGTGCAGGGTCAGAGGGTTGTAAAGGAACTCCTGCCCTGCCTGGTTTTAATGTGTAGCCCCACCCCGGCACATCACACACATACACACACACGGGGTACACACTCACACAGACACTCCTATGGGCTCTCCACACACCCTGCAATATACACAAAACATACGCTGACACACTGCAAACACACCAAGGTGCACACAGATGTAGTCACGTTTACACGGGGAGGCACATTTCAGTGACCGACGGAGCCTCTGTGCAGGGTCCTCATTTTAAACTTCAGACTCTCGTCAAGTCCACTGAGATTTCCTTTCTCAGTTGGAGGGTCCCCACCAGGACCAAACTCCCACCAGTCATAATGCTGATGCTGCAGTAATGGAGGTCATGTGATCAGGTTGGCTTCCACCCACAGCAACATATCTTGTTTTCTTTTTAATAATAGCTTTATTGAGATATAATTCTAGTACCCTAAGATTTACCCTTCTAAAGTGCACACTTCAGTGTTTTCAGTACAGTTGCAGAATTGCGCAACTATCATTAGTATCTAATTCCTGAATCTTGTCATCACCTCCCCAAAATACATTTTGTATCTGGCTTCTTTCACTTTGCATGATGTCTTCAAGTTTCATCCACATGGCAGCACAAATCATTCCTTTTTTTTTTTTTTTTTGTGGTACGCGGGCCTCTCACCGCTGTGGCCTCTCCCGTTGCGGAGCACAGGCTCCGGACGCACAGGCTCAGCGGCCATGGCTCACGGGCCCAGCCGCTCCGCGGCATGTGGGATCTTCCTGAACCGGGTCACGAACCCGTGTCCCCTGCATCGACAGGCGGACTCTCAACCACTGCGCCACCAGGGAAGCCCAAATCATTCCTTTTTATGGCTGAATAATATTTTGCTGCATGGATAGACCACACTTTGTTTATCTATCCATTAGTTGATGGACATTTGGGTTGTTTTCATTTGGGGGCTATTATGAATAATGCTGCTATGAACATTCATGCCCATGTTCTTGCATAGACATGTCTTTTCAGTTATCTTGGGTATATACTTAGGAGTGGAATTTCTGAGTCTTGTGGTAACTCACGAGGTAACTCAGCGAGGAACTGCTGAACTGTTTTCCAAAGTGGCTGTGAAATTTTACAATCCTATGATCAAAATATAAGGATTCCAGTTTCTCCATTATCCTTGTTAACACTTGGTGGTCTGTCTTTTATAATTTAGCCATCCTAATGGGTGTGAAGTGGTATCTCATTGTGGTTTTGATTTGCATTTCCCTGATGATTAATAATGTTGAACATTCTTTCACGTGTTTATTCGCCATTTGTATATCTTCTTCGGAGAAATGTCTATTCAGATCCTTTGACCACTTTTTAACTGGATTCTTTGTCTTTTTATTGAGTTATAAATATTCTTTGTATATTCTGGATAAAAGTTCCTGATCAAATATACGATTTGAAAATATTTTCTCTCATCCTATGGACTGTCTTTTCACTTTGATAGTGTCCTTTAAAGGGCAAAGATTTCAATTTTGATGAAACGCAATTTATATATTTTCATTTTAGTTACTTGTGCTTTAGGCATCATATCTAAGTAACTATTGCCTAATCCAGGGTCATGAAGATTTACACCTAAGTTTTCTTGTAAGAAGTTTATAGTTTTAGCTCCAATATTTAGGTTTATGATGTGTTTTTAGTTAATTTTTGTATATGGTATGAGATAGGGGTTCGCTTTCATTATTTTGCATAAGGATATTCAGTTGTCCTGATACCATTTGCTAAAAAACGTGCTCTTTCCTCATTGAATTGTCTCCTCATTCTTGTCAAAAATCAATCGGCTGTAAATGTGAAGGTTTATTTCTGGACTCTGAATCCTATTCCATTGGTCCTTACGTCTGTCCTTAGCACTGTCTGGATCACTGCAGCTTTGTAGTAAGTTTTGTAATTGGGAAGTGAGTCCTCCAGCCTCACTTTTCCTTTTTGAGGTTGTTTTACTCTTGTAACTGCATGTCTTGCATCGTGAGTGGAAGTTCCGTGTCTGGGTGGGTTTCAGGTCTGGTGTGACCCAAGGCTCAGTGACACCACGAGGACCCGTCCTTTCCATCCTCCTTTGTCTGCCAGCTTCAGCACTGGTTTCATCCTAAGTCATAACTTGCTTTTCTCTTTCGAGGCAAGTTCAGTGGAGTTGTTTGAACTCGGGATTCTTAGCGCCTCTGGGACACTGGGGGCGAGTCCCATGGCCAATGTTTTCTAGCAGCAAGAGTCCACAGTGAGCGAGCCTGCGTCTTAGTTGAGAAGAGCTCAGGAGAATTTCACAGGCAGTTATCAGGGCCTCTCTGCTCCATGGCACAGCTCTTGGGGCACCATTCACAGTGAAGGCTGCATAAATGGCATCCCCTGAGGCATAGATCCTTCACATCATGATATATGAATGAGCATTTAAGTAAGGGCACATTTGCCCTACAGTCACAGTGTATTAATTTCATCTTCTTCCCCCGCAAAAAGGAAGAAATTACCCAGTGATGTCAGGGTGTCCCAAAGATCTCCCTCAGCAATCAGTCAAGTCTCAGAGTCACCCACATGCGCTCGGCATGGTACTAGGGAAAGAGAGGTGGAGGGAGATAAAGGTCACCTGGCCCTTAAGAAATGAGTGCCGCTCAGAGAGGGAGGCTGGGGGAAGTCAGGGTGGGCTTCTCGGAGGAAGCAGTGAGAAGAGGCAGGCAACCACATTCAGGAAGCTGCACAAGGACCTGGGCTTGGAGCCATCCAGCTCTGCCACTGCTGGGCTGTGTCGCTTCAGACAAGTCACTTAACCTCTCTGAGCCGCAGTTTGCTCATTTGCCAATTGGCATTGATACCACATCTTTGGCAGCGCCCTTGTGAAGACTAAAGGAGACGCAGGTCAACCTTGATGTTGCTTTGGTCCCTGGGAGGTGGTGTCCAGGGGCCAGAGTACAGTCAAGTGAGAGAGATTTCTTTTTTCTCTTAGGAATTTATGTTGGACACAATGGAGACTGTGAGATTCATCTCACTGCTCAGGGGACCCAGAGTGTGCTGGACAGCAGACAACCCCAAGGACCGGGGCCTCAGAAGGTACCCCAGACCATTCAGGAAACATTCAAAGAGTCAAGATTCGATCCCCAGGACCCCCTTTCCTAGCACCCAGACTTCAGAGTCCCCAGCCTGTACTGACACAACCCAGGGCCACCAACCCTGCCAGCATCACGACCATCTCTTTACCTGCTTGGCCTCCTTTTTTCACCACCAGAGCTCCTGAGTGGGTGGGAGGCAGAGGTCAGTGAGAGGTGGGGCAGCTAGGGCCAGGTGGGGTTGAGGGGGCACTGTTCCCTGCATTGGGGGATTGGCAGGGATGGAGGTGAGGCCTGCCTGGGACCGTGGGCAAGACAGAGGGAGGTTCCCGAGTCAGAGGCAGCAGCCAGGTGGGAAGTCCCAGGTTGGAGACCTGCACCCAGAAGCCGGGGATGCATTTCTCGCTGTCATTGGTGGGTCTGTCTGGGGCCAAGGAGCTTGAGTGGACGCCCGACTATTGGGAACGCTGCAGTCATAGGAACTCTCACAGAGAGCCACCCTGAGCTATAGGATGCGTGGGAGCTGGCCTGGCCCACAGCAGACCGGGGGTGCTCAGCTTGTAGGAGAACATCTCATCACTGGTTCCCAGAAGCTGGATACCAGTTTGGTGCCTTCTGCCCACCTGAGGGTCCCTGAGCTGCCTGGAATGAGTGCTACCCTCAGGGGGCCTGGGGGCAGGGCAAAGCCCCTCTCTGGGCTGGTTTTCCCACGTGTGAAATTGGGTGCGAGGATGTCTAAGGGAATCCTCTCTCCAGTCTGACGTTCTTAGGTCAAGGTTGGAAAGGCCTCTGCGTGGATGGCACTGGCTTGGTGTTATTGAGCCACGGAGGTGAAATCACCCTGGCAGCCACCGCAGCCCCGAAAAGGATTCACTCCTGCGGGTCTGCTGATGGTAACTGATTTAGGTTAACTTTGAAGGTTCAGAGCAACTGATTTGCAGCAAATGGTGGGGCATCAGCAAATTACCTTTCAAAGGGGAGTTTCAGAAAAGACGCTGCTATTCCTTCAACAAGCACCGAGGGTCTGCTGTTTTCCAGGTGCTGTTGGGAGAGGGGACGGGAGGCTCGGAGGGAGGGGGTGGGAGGCTGGGTAGGACTTGGGCACTGAAATATTTAGGGGAGCTAAATATAAGAAAGAAGGTTATGTAGGGTCAGGTCTTAAGAGCAGTTTTTTTTTAAAAGGCCGGGGGGAGCTGCAGAGAAAGCATCATTTTGAGTTTCTGACTCTCAGGGCTTTGGGGCAAAGAGAGCATCCCAGGTAGGGCTTGAGTCAGATTTCAGAAGGGAGAGGTTGGGGGAGGGCTGAAGAAACTGAAGGGAACACAGGGTAGGGCTTCCAGTTTGGCTGGAGCACAAAGAACCCGACGGGCAGTCTGAGATGGTGGGCTGGGCAGCCACCATGGGGTCCCAGAGGCCAGGCTACGAGGTTTGGAGGCCATACCTGGGGGTGTCTTAGACCACTCTGGCTGCCATAGCAAAATACCATACACCAGGTGGCTTAAACAACAGACGTTTATTTCTCACAGTTCTGGAGGCTGGAAGTCGAAGATGACGGCATTGGCAGGTTTGGTGTCTGGTGAGAGCCCACTTCCTGGTTCAGGTGGTGGAAGGGGTGATGGAGCTCCCAGGGTCCCTTTCTTAAGGACACAAATCCCATTCATGAGGGCCCCACCCTCATGACCTAATCGCCTCCCAAAGGCCCCACCTCCTAACACCATCACACGGGGGTTAGGATTTCAACACAGGAATTTAGGGAGCAGGTACAGTCAGTCCACTGCAGGGAGCATCTCGCACCCATACCTCACTGCTTACTTTCTGTCCACCCAACATCCACTTTCCAAAGAGCTCTGAAGTATCTCATTAGCCTCCCTGTAATGTGGACACATGTTAGGCCAACAATTCTTAGATTTGAACATTCCTCAGGAGGGCTTGTCGCAACAGAGTGTGGGTCTACCCCCAGAGCTTCTGACCCAGCAGGCCTAGGGTGGCCAGGCCTTAGAATCTGCATTTCTGACAAGTTCCCAGGTGATGCTGCTGCTGCTGGTCTCAGGCCCACACTTTGAGAACTGCTGCTTGGGAGTAATGGCGCATTCCAAATGCCTAAGCTGGGCTCTGCTTCTCCTGGAGTACCAACTCCCCCTGCCTGGCCTGCAGTCCCCATCTGCACAATGGGGCAAGCGTCATGGGGACCTGGCATCCTGGGAAGGCCATCCCCACCCCGTCTGACCTCCTGGGAGGTGCTGAACATGACACCCTGTTAGGGGCCCAGGGAACAGTCCTCTCACTTTGCCCACAGAGGCTCTGTGAAGAGCTGTTGTCTTTCTGTCCTCTGCCATCTGCCTGCTGTGCACATGTTGTGTGTATGTTTGCAGGTCTAGTTCAGATGTTTGGCACGCTCCTGGGGGAGGAGGTCCATCAGAACAGATACCTGGGGTGGCAGTGACCTGGCCATTAGTCTAAGTTTGCAGTGGGCACCTCAGTCTTTTAGGAGCTCCCAGCCTCCTCTGGGCAGAGCTTGGGTCATGAAATTGACAACTGGGCACTGCACTTAGGGGCCCTGATCTCTCAGGCTGCTGGCATGTACTAGAACGCTGGGGTTTATCCTTGCTGGGCTTTCTTGTCAGACAGAAAGCTCTCTCAGCCCTGACCCTGTACCTTTAAAGCACTTTCCTCCTGGGTTCCATATTAGCTGGAGAAAGGCCTTCAAGGGCATTTGGAGAAAACCACAGTGGTTCAGGTACCTTATGAAACATCATTTCATCTGACTGCCCATCCAGATCCTGAGACCCCAAGACACTAGGAGGCCCAGGGCTTGGACATTTTCTGAGACTGAGAGCTCATTACCTGACATCGAATTCCAGCTTTAATTTTCTTCAAGTGTGAGGACATTCTCTCTACAGACCATCCAGGAAGAGTTGGACTATTAGCTACTGGCTGGTGCTGAGAACATTGGCTATTTGGCAGGAAAATCAAATTATGTCCTTTTTCCACACCACATACTGTAGTATATTCCAGTTCCTTTGAATGATGGTTTTCCAACTTTAATGTTCATTAAAACCACCTGTGGGGCTTCCCTGGTGGCGCAGTGGTTGAGAGTCCGCCTGCCGATGCAGGGGACACGGGTTCGTGCCCCGATCCGGGAGGATCCCGCATGCCGTGGAGCAGCTGGGCCCGTGAGCCATGGCCGCTGAGCCTGCGCGTCCGGAGCCTGTGCTCTGCAACGGGAGAGGCCACAACAGTGAGAGGCCTGCGTACCGCAAAAAAAAAAAAACAAAACAAAACAAAAAAAAAACAAGAAACAAACAAACAAAAAAACCCACCTATGACACTTGCTAAACAGGGGTCATTCTCAGAAATTCTGATTGTGGCACGAGGCCCCCAAAATCTGGATGTTGAACAAGCATTCCAGATGGTTCCAGTGCAGACTGGTCTCTAGTCACAGGGTGAGAAACACTGAATATCTCAATGTCAAAAAGAAGAAAACCTGCTCCACATTTACCTGGTCTTTAGTCAGGAAGAACTTTGGAGGCATGAAAGCAACAGAAGTGACACCTGAAAATAATTTGACCATGTAAAAATGAAAAATGCATCCACCTCAGAACACAGCCAAATATCTAAAGACAATAAACTGGGGGGAAATGGTGAGAAATTTGAAAAAGAATCAATGTTTTTGATATTTAAAGAACGCTTACACAGTAAAAAAAAAAAAAAAAAAAAGACATCAATTGTTCATTTCAGCAAATCACAAAATAAATAAAAACGGCCTATAAACATGAAAGGTATTTCACTTCACTAAAAATAAAATTACACCTCATAACTTCTGCCCATCAAAAAATTTTTAGTTAATACACTAATGCATATAAGATAGGCTCTCCAACACTGCGAGGCTGTTTGCATAAACTCTCTGGAAAGCAATTTGAGAAGAGATCTTAAGAGGCTTACAAAATGTTTAGGTCCTTTGGCTCAGCAATTCTAGGTCAAGAAATTTAAGTTAATAAAACCAGAGCTATTTGGTTCAAAATGACAGAAAGCCCAACTCAACTTGGCTTAAGCCAAAAAAGAGAAGGTACTGGCTTATGAAACGAGAAGACCAGGGATTGTAGGGCTTCAGGAACGGCTCGATCAGGAACTCAGTGGCAACAGAATCCAGTCTGTCTGTGGGCTCTGCTCTGCCGCAGCTTGGCTTCATTTTCAGGCTCAGCATAAACAAGATGGCTGGCAACAACCTCGGCCCCGCATCCTTTAAAGTGGAAGTCAGAGGAAAAGAGAGAATGTCTCTTCCCAGTAAACCCTGGCAAGTCCCAGGATTTACTCTAATTGGATCACCTCGAGTCAGGTGTCGCTCTAAACAAATCTCTGATTGGCTAGGCCTAGGCTCCCTGTGCGTCCTGAATGAATCTCTGTAACTAGGGGAGATTCCATGCTCTGAGTTCCAGGACTTGATCAAATTTTTGTTTGAGTTTTTGTGAGGTGGAGTATCTTTCATGGCTGGGGACCAACCATATGAACTGAAAGAAGGGTTCCCCAAAGGGAAATCAGGCAGTTGTTATCACAGGGAGGTGAGGCCTGGCGCTGGGCAGGCACAAGCCAGAAATGCCCATTACAATACAGAAACGGTGTCTGTACCAAAATGTCCACCACGTTGTCACTTACAGTAGCCAAACTGGATACAAACTCAATATCTCAGAGGAAGAGTTCAGTCAATGATGCAAAACTTTATGATTTTATAATTCTGCAGCCATTAAATTCCATGTTTTCAAAAATAATGTAAGGAAAATTATCTAGAGGGTGTAACGTTAAGTGAAAAAAGCAAGCATTTTTTTTAAGTTGAATATAAACTCAATTTAGTAAAAATTATATATGTAAAAGAAGGAAATAGACTAAAGCAGTGCTTCTAAGTGGGAGGATCCTGACCCTGGGGTGGAGTGGGAAGTATTATACCCACCGGGTGCGGTAGATTGAGTAAGTGGTCCCTAGTCTCCACCCCCTGTGGTGGTGTCTACATCTGCGCTCCTGCCACAGGCTCAGTATTCACTTCTTGGCTTTGGGTTGGCCCTGTGACTTGCTTTGGCCAATGGGATGTCAGTGGATTATGACACAAGCAAAGGCTTAAGACTTATTGTGCAGTGGGGCTTGTGTGCCTCTGGGAGCCTCCTGGTTGCAGGGGGATGAGAGCCACAGGGAGCTGACATAGACCAAC